GTACACAAATTTCTACAACTCTGGAATTCCTCACCTGGCTTGCTGTGATCTCTGGTAACTCATTATGCTGGCATTATCAAAAGAATTAAGTTTCAGAGTGCACTGCATGAAAAGTAGGCAACTTTGCCAAAACAGATACTGAGATTTTATGGAGGATAAATATTTTTAAATAAAATTGTGTATTAGTACTGGTGGTGTTGTTTCTGAGCTTTCATTAAAAGATGGACACTGATGTTTTGCTGTTGGTCTGTGGAAGGTATGTTTTGTTTGAGAAGCATTTACATAACTTTTATCAGATGTGAATTACTTCATTTGTATGTAGGGGAAGGCTGGTCCAAAATGAATGCATCAGTGTAGCAAATACGCTTCTGACTATTCCTGTTGTTTCTGAAGTGTTGGTAATATAGCTAGGATTGCAGCTGAACGCTTAAATGGTCTTCTGTGAAGGGAAGTGAAGTGACAGTGTACCGTAGGTGAGCACCTCAGGTATCTGAAGTCAATACTTGTGCGGTTGCACATGTGCGCACATGCGTATGCTTCCCTAAAATACGGAAAAGTGGCACTGCACCTGTAAGAACTACTTCTTGTCCCAGAACCTGAGCCCTTCTGATTTAGCTTCCCTTCCCACCTCCATCCAGTAACAGCTTCTTCAGACTTCTGTTCTCACAAAGTTCAAACTCATATGCAGTATTTGAACAGCTTTTGCTATAGTTAGAGCCCTGTTTTGACCTAAGTTGCTTTCTGTGACCTCAAACATAGCACCGTTATTACTTGTCATCCCGAAGTACAATGAAACACGATGAACAGGAAGGATACACTTTGGCTGTAGAATTATGTTGTGTAAATTCCTGTTTTTATTTTGAAACTGCCCCTAATGCTACTTTAAGGTGGGCAATCTATCTGTGTTCAGCAAATTCACTTGCAAATACCTGAGATTAAAGCTTTAATTTATGGAAGAAGAGAAATTATCTTGAGTTCTGAACAATAACAGTATAGTATCATCAACTCCTTATCATGCCTTACACAGCCACTCTCATGAGGGGAGACATTGTGTTACAACTGCTTTGTAATTGTGCATATTGCTGCTGCTTCTCCCTGCTTATCAGTGAAGATTCTCTGGAGCTGCCTTCTCAGGACAGGTGCTCATTTTTCATTGGATCTGTAAGGGCTTTAACTGTTGTAGAGATGTCTTGAAGTTGGACCACTTAATCAAAAGATACAGGAGAGAGGGAGGAAATGAATGGTGATCATACAAGCTGTTTCCATAGTAAAAAAACCCTGATCAAAATAATTAAGTCTTAGTGATAATGTTGTGCAATAGGCTTTGTTTATTTGGTACTAGAATTGCATTTTTAGGTGCCTCTTCAAAAGAGAGGAGCAGTCATTGAGGAAATGCCTATGTTCCTCTGGATGGGATAGAAATTATTTGTCAGTAGAAGGGCAGTGTTTTCTGCATATCTATCTGGTCTAGTGTAACTGCTATTTTTAAATGAGCTTTGAGAAGCATGTTAAGCTTCACAGGTTCTTTCTTCTTAAAAATCACTTTTCTGTAGATTCTCTTTTTGGTTTTGCTCTGTTGGCTGGTATTTGCAAAATGCTTCTCTTTCTTTTACTTCTTCACTAATGTTTTGGTTTTTTTCTCCACTGTTGTTTTTTTTTTTCTCCCTACCATTTCTGTGGTTTACCTAACTCTTGCCACCTCTCTTTTCTCCACTCAACACACCTTACTAGGATCATTGCCTGTTGGCTTGGCTAAGCCACATGTTATTGCAAACCTAGTTACTACTTGAAACTACTTGAAGCAGTTCAACAAAATAAAAAGAACTTATGACAGTGGGTGCTGGTTCAGAGTGCACAAAGGTGCTGTTTTTACCAATATATATCGTCATGGTTTCCGCAAGACTGGTTAGGAAAATATTATGGCTTTCATTTTAGTTGCAGTCTACATATATGAAATAGCGTGGAGCTTTGCTCAGTCACTTCACAGAATCACAGAACCATCAAAATTGGAAGGGACCTCTAGAGATCATCTAGTCCAAGTCCCCTGCTAAAGGAGGGTTTCTTAAAGCACATTATTCAGGACTGCATCCAGGCAGGTCTTGAATACCGCCGGACGTGGGGACTCCACAACCTCCCTGGGCAGCCTGTTCCAGTGATGTCACCCTCATTAGTGAAGAGTTTTTTCTCTCATATTTAAATGGAACTTCCCATGTTCTAGCTCATGCCCATTGCCCCTCATCCCATCACTGGAACTAGTGAAAAGAGTCTGGCTCCATCCTCCTTGCACCCACCCTTGAGATACTTACAGGCATTAATAAGGTCTCCCCTCAGCCTTCTCCAAACTAAAGTGTCCCAGCCTTTCCTTGTCAGAGAGATGTTCCAATCCCCCAGTCACCACTGATGCCCTCCACTGGACTCTCTCTAGTGGTTCCTTGTCTCTCTTGAACTGAGGAGCCCAGAACTGGACCCAGTATGTTTTGGGCCTTGCTGTGGCTGGGCTGAGCTCCATGTTCTTCCATTCCGGAAAGCAGCTGGTGTTACACACATCCACTTGGCCCTCTGTTTATACTTTTCAAGGTTGTTACCAGCACAGAGTCTGCTAGGCCTTTTTCCTTCTCATGGGAACCTTTCACTACGGGCTAGAGCCTGCAAAATGAGAGACAAGAAGCAGCTGAATCATAAAAGGGGAGTGAGGCAGGCATTTTGAGAGGTGGAGTGCCCTGCTACAATCACCTAAGGCAGGTCACAAGGAAACATGTGCAGAAATATCTTAAAAGTCTCCAGAGAAGGAGACTCCACAACGTCTCTGGACAGCCTGTTCCAGTTCTCTGTCATCCTCAAAGTTAAGAAGTTTTTCCACACATTGAGGTGGAACTTCTTGTTTTCCAGTTTTTGTCTATTGCCTGTCGCCTGTCATCCTATCACAGGGATTGAGATTGGCCCCTCCTTCTTTACACCCAGCCATCAGATATTTGTATACATTAATAAGATCTCTTCTGAGATTTTCTTCTCCAAACTAAACAGCCCCAGATCTTTCAGCCTTTCGTTGTAAGACTGATGTTCTAGTCCCTTAATCATCCTTATAGCCCTCTGTTGGACTCTCTCCAGTATATCCCTGTCCCTCTTAAACTGGGGAGCCTAGAACTGGACAGGGTGTTCCAGATGTGGCCTCTCCAGAGCAGACTAGAGGCAGAAGATGATCTGGTAACACTTCTTTCTCCTTATGCAAGCTAGGTTTCCATTTGCCTTCTTGGCAACAAGGGCACATGCAGGCTGATGGATAATTTGCTACCTACCAGGACTCCAAGGTCCTTCTCTACAGAGCTGCTTACTAGCAGGTCAGGTCCTAATCTGTACTGTTGCATGGTGTTTTTCCTTCCCAGGTACATGATTCTATACTTATTCTTGTTGAACCTCATTAGGTTTATCTTTGGTCAGCCTATCTAGGTTTCACTGAATGGCCATACTGCCTTCTAGTGAATCAGCCTATCCTCTCAGTTTTGTATCATCAGCAAACTTACTGAGGACACACTGTCCCCTCATCCAAGTCATGGATGAAAATGTTGAACAGGACTGGAGCCAATACTGACCCCTGGGGAACTCCACTTGTTATGGGTCTCCAGCTGCACTCTGCACCATTGATCACCACCCTCTGGGCTCTGTTGCTTAGCCAGTTCTTAATCCATCTCACTGTCCACTCTACTATCCCACACTTCCTGGGCTTGCTCACAGTGATGTTAATGTCCAAAGTCTTGCTATCAGATTAGTCAAACATGATTTCCCCATGATGAATCCATTCTGACTACTCCTGATAAACTTCTCTTCTTCCATGTGCTTAGGGATGACCTCCAGAATGAGCTGTTCCATCATCTTTCCAGGGATGGAGGTGAGGTTGACTGGTCTGTAGTTTCCTTGGATCATCCTTCCTGCCCTTTTGAAGACTGGAGTGACACTGGCTTTCCTCCAGTCCTCAGGCACCTCTCCTGTTTGCCATGATCATTCAAAAATGATGGAGAGTGATAGAGCAACAGTAATCAGCCAGCTCTCTCAGCAGTCGTCAGTGCATCTCATTGAGACCTATGGATTTCTGCATGTTCAGTTTGCCCAGATTGCTGTAACCCAATCCTCATTGACTAGTGGAGAGTCTTCCTTTCTCCAGGAAGAGGTAGCTTCTGATTCAGTTCTCTAGCAATCTGCTTTTTGTAACTGGCTGGAATTGGCAGCCTAGCGCTACTTTTATTCATGAGCTCATGTTCAATACTATGGGGTTTTCATGGAACTAAAAAAGGAAAAGATTGTATATTGAAGCTAGGAACACTCACTGTAATGTTAAAGAAGTCTGAATCTTGTAGGGTAGACCTGGATACTGTTTTAACATAATAGAGTAGTTAACCTTTCAGAGATTATCCTCGATGTGCTAGAATGTTGTGCTGTGTTCCCCCTCACTCCATTAACACAGACTTCAATTTTACTAGGATTGGTTCTAAGTAAATTATTGTATTTATTTTACATTACATTTATTAGGATTAGGGTGTTACTAATATTAGGCTATGAATATGTAAAAATATGTGAATTGCAGCTCTTCTGCCCTCAACATGTTTAAATTTCTCAGGGTGGAATCTTGTATGTTTTCCATTCTAGCCTTGAACTAGCTTGCTAGTTCTCTGTAGAACTAGCCTTCGCTGCAGTACCTTTCTAGCCATTATGGATACTCAATGGGTGCACCTGGTGTTGAAGTCCCTGTCTGCTTTAACAGTCTGAAAGTCTGGGGGGAAAAGAAAAAGAAAGGAAAAAAAAAAAGCTATCCCTAAACTGTAGGTTGTATACAGGCAGGAATAATTTGCTTGCAAAATTATGTGGAGTTGTGCTCAGATACATCCTAATGTCTGTGTGCAATTTTTAAATTATGCTGCCATAGAACTATTGTCACAGCTCATGTTTTGTTTGTGCATTTAAGCATTCCTTTATTGTGTTACATACAGGTTTTTCTCTTTTTTTAGTGTGCAAGGATCCACCCTACAAAGTTGAAGAATCTGGATATGCTGGATTCATATTACCAATTGAGGTTTACTTCAAAAACAAGGTATAGAATCACATGCTTTTCATTAAAGAACCCAAATTACGTGCAAGTTGGGGTTTTTAAAATATTCCTGGTTTAATTAATAAACTCAGTTTAAATTAGGCTCTTTGTCAGTGCTGTTCCTCAGTTCCAAGCCACTAACTTTTAAAAAGATGTAATTGTATTTAGTAGGTAACTCTGAAATTAGAATCACTATAAAATAAACAAGTTGAATGTAATTATTCAGAAGAATTACTAGCCCTACTCAGAAGTAGACAGACTTTAAAATAACGCTTAAGAGAATTCAAGCGCCTCTTCAACTTCAAGAAAGGGAACTGATACTGATTATGTTGATTTAATAGTGAACTCATTCTATTTTAGTATCACCATTATTTTTAATTTGTTCAGGTTTTAATCTTTCAAAACAGCCTTTTTTTAAAAAATCCTGCATACTTTGTCTGAAAAAACTTACTTTTAGTCTGCATGTGAACCTTGATTCTACTCAACTCAACATTACCAAGGGGCACACTTCAAAGACAAACCCAGTGCCATTCTACAAAGCTTGCATTATAGCACCATCTCAAATCTGAGTCTAAGTAAATACTGCACTTACTGTGGGTCTTTCAGGTAGCAAAACCAGGTATTTCCTTTAATGTACCAAACAGGGGCTGTATTATTAATAACTCATGGAGATTAAAAGATTAAATTTGGGTGGAATTGAAGAGCAAAAAGTTTGTATGGCTTAATGTACACTACCTTAAAAATGGCAATATTTTAGGTTCTTTTTATTTGTCATGTGCCTCAGTGGAGCTGTTACATCTCGCATGCACTTCAAGTATACCTATGTGTTTGTTTTGTATTACCAAGATATAGTTTAACATAATTATTTCAATCAAGTCCATGTTACATCTTTAATGTGTTGAATGCTTGGTGAAAAAACAAAACTGAAAGAAAACAGAAATGTATAGTAAAATACTTCTGCTGGAATCATTGCCACTTAAAATTTGTGTTAAGAGTACAACTTTGTTAGCTGTGTATGCCTTCCAGCAATTACTCCAGTATTCTTTTGTATAGTGCAGAAAACTCTGTCAAGGTGTGAGGTCTGGATAATTCTACTCAGGCACTGTACATTGTAGCTTTCAAGCAGATAGTTCTGAAATGTTCCCTGTATCAATCTATGAAGAGCAAGGCTTAGTCTGCCCTCTTTGCTGTTGGAAAAGGAAACAAAATTGGCTCAGTGAGTTCACTGACTCTTTTGGTGTGCTTTTTAGCTCTGTCCTGGTTAGAGAAACAGTTTTGATGCATTCAGGAAACGTGATTATAAGGAACCCATTCTCTTTTAACTCCTCTGTTAAAAAATCACCCCAAAACTGGGCAGACAGAAGTCAGAAGACAGTGGGTCAATCGTTGAAGCATCTCTACAGCAAGCTTCCTGCCCGACATTTCTTTTTTTGTTTTCCACTCAGACTTTTGGCTGCCTTTGCTGACTATGGAGACCTGCAAGTCTCAGGAGTTCTCCAGCAGGAGCTGTGGCTTAGACTGAGATCAAGAGGGCAGCAGTGATTACAACTCACCTCACCCTCAAGCAGCATGTGGAATTAGGAAGTTTTCAAACATCCCTCACCTCTGTTTTGGTGTCATGGAATACCAGCAGCATTTGGACTGTGAGTCAGCTAGCTCTTCACACAGCTTCACACCCCTGCCCTGGGGTGGGTACAATACAAAGGAAAAGTGAGACAAAAGTTGAGCTGGCATTACTGAGGCAAATTAATGCTTTCTCCTGGCTCAGCTACTCTTCCTCCCCTAAGCCACTTCACAGGTAATCCAGTGCAGAAAAAAAGGAGATAGACAGAAGGAGGAAGAGGAGAGAGACCATCATCACTTATTCAAAAGGTAGACAACTTTTCAATTTCTGGTTCAGAAAGTGCCCTAATGAACAGAGAAGGCACGGGGTACAAGAAACCACCTGGACCATGGAGAATTAAAAGATGCCTGTTCCCAGGACTAAGCAGAAATGAGTAGAACATCTAATAGGCATTTTACCCTGATGTTCAATATGCTAAGCTTTAAAGAATTAGGGAAGTCAAGCCATCTACTCCCAAATTCAGGAGCAGCAGGCTATAGTTGTTAGGCAGAGTCCTTAAAAAATTATTTTAGAGCAAAAGTCTGTTGCTCTGGAAAATCCAGTCCATTTAAGATAAAGCTCATAAACTGCATTATGTTCTGCCTTCACTATCATGCCATTTTTAAATAGTAGTGGTACTGGGAGTCCTTTGACAGTAAAGTTAGTTTTGAAATCACTCGTTATGTTCATCTGTCTCTCCACAGAATTATTTGAAGACTCCGTTTATATTTTGTTTTACTTGCTTTTATGGCAAAACTACTGGTACCAACTAATCGGCTGTAGCAAATCAGTTTTCTAACTAGACTGGGATTAAATCACTTGAGATTTTTTTCTGCAAGAAACCATATATTAATCTTACTAACAATAAGAAGTAACTTCATCCATGGTTGCCTCTGAAAATGGTCCATCAAGAAAATAATTCATCTAAGGGTACTACTCTCTTGTGTGGTCAGAAACAGACTACTGCAGGCCTTTTATTTCAGATACCTTCTGTTGTCTCTGCTCCCAAGTCTATAGATAGGACAATGAGGATGTCCCTTGGCTATGTTGAAGCATGATTTAACTTTTAGAATAACTGAGATTTCTAGGCTGTTCTTCATATCCTTGAGATTCAGAATCAAAACTGAAGTTTTTTTTTAGTGTGAATTTTTAAAACGTGTCACTGAACAGAACACACGTTCTTGTTTTGGTTTGGTTACGTGCAGTGTTGGGTATGTGCCAAGATTTTGCTGTATTTCTTGCTCCTCTTCTCTCATGATTCCCTTTTTGCTAAACCTTTTCCTGAATTTGACCTTTTACTTGTGCTCTGCCCTAAGACTGACATTAATTTTCTGGCTTCTGTTGCACCTTTTGAAGAACTACTTAATGCCTTTAAAAAAACATGTGACTTAAGACAGCTTCTAGAAGGGACTGCATAATACAAAACATACTAAGGATCTTTTCTCTGGTGTTTTGAAGTGAGTTCTATTCAATGCCACTAGTGTCATTTTTCAGTAGAAGCTTTCTCAGGACAGCAGAACACTGATGATTTCTTCCAAGATAAATTTGCCTTTTCTGTTCTTTCTCCATATTGGTACAGGGAACATTCAGTTTCATTTTCTTCACTGCAGTGGCACAGAATTTTAATCACTTAGAAGCTGTTGTGGAACAGTTGAAATATAGCTGGCCGTACTTGTTCAAGGCAATGAAGTTTCATTAATAAATAAGCAGATCCCATACATAGGAGATCAAATATGATTGGCTGCAGCATTTTCATTTTTACCCCTTTCTACAGCTCATGCAAAAAATAAGCATTTGGCTTCAGTGGGGAAATTGCATTTAAAACTTACTGCAGTGTCTCAAGTACTATCTAGGGCTCAGAAGTGTGATTGTGTTGATGACTGAGTTACCCTGTGTCAGCTGAATCATGATACTTGCCTGTGTGTGTCTGTAGCCTATGCCTAACATAACATAACACGTTCAGTTAAGCCATGTCAAGTTCATGCATTTTGTCATGTGTTCTCATGAGCTGCTAGGAGCTTCGCTAATTCACTGTGGCTCAGCGGATGCCTGGTAAATTCCACCATGTGTCTAAGAACTCAGAGAATGGTTAGAAGTGACATAATTATAATTTTAATTGACAGCCTTATGTAGCTCTTGTTTTCATCTTAGTTCGATTTAGTCCTAGATATTTCAATCTGGTTATTTTTAACCCTCAGGAAGAACCTAAGAAAGTTCGATTTGACTATGACTTATTCCTGCACCTTGAAGGCCACCCACCTGTAAATCACCTCCGCTGTGAAAAGCTCACATTCAACAACCCAACAGAGGAATTCAGAAGAAAGCTGCTAAAGGCGGGAGGGGTGAGTCCTGCACTTGTGTCAAAAGCCATCACGATAAAGATGTTGCTGCTTATTGCTGATGCTTGAATAATGGATTAAAGACTGACCTGATGGGGAAAGAAGTGAAGTGTTTTGTGATTAACTTCATGTAAGAGCTCAGTGCTTGTTGTCTTTAAGTGGAATGGGTGAACAAATGAGCATATGCCTGTCTTACATACATGATTAGGTATCTGTTTCCAAAACCAAGCAATTCATGTTTGCTTCTGCAAAAGCAAAACTTAGACCTTATCCGTGAAGCATTGTTTGCTTGATGTTCCAGAGATGAAGTACAGCTGAGCTACTGTGATTGGAGGAAGTAATAAGAAAATGTATCTCATTTAAAGATAAGTTGTTCTATATTAAGCAGAATAAATTAAGTAGTTATAAGGTAGAACAAGTTAGAAAATGTAAGTATAAATATACCTACTTTAATTTGTATAGTACGCTACACAGTCTGATCCAGAAAATTTACCAAGACTTCTATCTAATTGATAAGAAAAAGCCCAAAGGAAGTTTGCCCACATGGAGGGAGGGCCAAACCTTTAAATTTACACTTTGTCTGTTAGTAGAAACCATTCTGTTGTGTTTCGTACAATGCCAGAATCATTCAGACTGGCCGAGACCACCAGAGGATCAACCACAGGATTAAACCGAGACATTCAGGACTTCACCCCTCTTTCCCAGGGTGTGAAACCTCCCTGGCTGAAGGTGACCCAACTGCCATGGACCCTGGCTCCACTGCTGCTCTCTCTTCTGCGGAAGAGACTTCTCCTTATCTCCAGCTTGAGCCTTTCATGTGTCAGCTTGTGCTGCTGCTTGTTGCCTTCCTGCCATGCACCACTTTGACGAGCCTGACTGCATCTCCTCTATTCCCTCCCATCAGTGCCAGAGATGCTCTTGGGTGCTCCAGAAGCCATCCCTCCCATCCACTGAACCAGCCCTCATCCTAGTAGCCTCTCCTTGCAGGACAGGTGCTTCAGCCCCACTGTCTCAGTAGCTGCCCCTCACCTCCTGCAATTTGTTGGTGGCATTTCTGTGTTGGGGACCCAACTTGGAGGCAGTACCTAGGTGGGGTCTGACAAGCACCGGGCAGAGAGAACAATCCTTGCTCTCCCCTGGCTTTCAAGGCTGTCACCTGCTCATGAGACTCTAGGCATTGCTTGTCCTTTTGCTGCCTAGGCATGTGGGTGGCTGTGGCTCAAGTTGCTGCCCGACAATGCCCAGGGCCAACCTGGGGGCCAGCCCCCAGAGCTGTTTCCCAGACCTAGCCTTATGGCTGCAGTGCTATGCCTTGCTGGGACAGGGCTTGGCATTTGCCATTTGTCCTGTTGTATTACATGAGGCTGCTGTTAACCCACTCATTCAGACTGGGTCCCTCCTGTTGGCAGCCCTTCTCCTGAGTGTTACCCTCCTGGAGAAGAGAACTGCTACAGCTATAGTTATCTTGAAATAGAAGCATGGGCTGTGTTTTATGTTTGTATTTGTTAGGTGCAAGAGGGTATCCCTGTCTGAACAAGGTATTGGCTCTTTAGTATGTTTGCAAGTAGAACACCAAGACTGCATTCTGGAAAACTTAATGAGCCACTGCTTTAATATTAATTGTATCAGGTTAGTTGGAAATGGACAAGTTTTACCACCAAGTGGGAACATGTAAATGATAAAAGGACTTTGTGGGTGGTGAGGGCGGCTAGAAAGGGAAAACAAGAAGCATCCTTTTTATTTCCCGTTTTCTGTGCTTTCTAATTTTGTTTCTTGAGTTTAAAAAAGCAAAAACGTTGCCTCATTGTAAACAATTAAATGTGGGGTGTGGGATCAAATTCTGTCCCTGAATTTATCAGCCTGGTCATTCTTGAAATGTGTTGCATCATTGTCTTTTGGAGGCTACAAGCTCCTTGCCTTTTTTTTTATTCTCAGTTTTCCCAATTTCCTTCCAAGAAATGGGTCCCTGTTTTTTTTTGTGGTTTTTTTTCTTTTTTTGTTTGTTTATTTGGGATTTTTTTTGTTTGCTTTTAAGTTACTGATGTTTCATGCTTCCCTTTCTAGTCTTACTGATGCAGGAGTTTGAACAGATTGGCAGAGATGATGTAATAGCATTCCATCTGTCAAGGGCTTACATCTCCCAGTATTGAAAGGCCTGTTACACTTTTAAGAAATGCTGTACACAAGCTTTTCTTTGACCACAATAGAAACCCAGGAAAGCTGGTCTTGCTTTCAAGTGTAAGTAGAATAGATAACTGAATGAATTAGGGTTGTTCAGCCTGAAGAAGAGACGCTGGCGTGACCTTATGGTGAGCTTCCAGTACCTGAAAGGGGCCTAGAAGAGGGCTGTGGAAGACCTGTTCACCAGGGCACGTAACAACAGGACAAGGGGTAATGGTTTCAAGCTAGAGAAGGGTAGATTTAGGTTGGGAAGAAGTTCTTTGATATGAGGGTGGTGGATCACTGAAACAGGTTGCCTAGAGAGGTTGTAGAGGCCCCATCCCTGGAGCCATTCAAGGTCAGGCTTGATGGGCTCTGAGCAATCTTGTCTAATGTGAGATGTCCCTGCTTATTGCTGGGGGGTTGGACTCGGTGACCTTTCGAGGTCCCTTCCAACCCAAGACATTCTGTGATTCTGTAAATTCATGAAACATTAACTCACTTTTAACTTCCATGCTATAGGCTGAGAAAAGCATCTACAGGATAATGAAATACAAAATGTGTTTTACACTTAAAATTAAAAAAAATAATAATACTTCTATCTAGTGCTTGTCTTCAATAAAAAGTAGAAATAACAAATCAGTAAATTTTCTTGATAAGCAACAATTGAGGCAAAATGAAGTTCGTGTCCTTGGAATGAATAAGGTGCCCTACTATCGCAATCCGCGACCTATTACATCTCCTTTTTGGAGTGAATTTAGCTTGTCAGGATCTGCTGAGATCTGCACGTGGCGCTCACCTCTCAACGAGGAGCAGTGGCTTCGGCACTGACTGTTCGGGTGAGACGCTTGCTCAGTGCTCACTAGTGCTTCCAATGTACAGCAAATCCCCAATTAGAATTTACGAAGACACGGTTTATTGAGGGGGAAAAATAAAACAATTTGGGGCAGGAGGTTCAAAAAGGGTAATTAAAGCACATAGGAGCTGTGGAATATCTTTTAAACACCAAATACCAAGAGCTTACATATGCCTTAATACTTATATATAGGTACACCATATTTACACATGCAGATTAATTATCTATGAGGGAAGAGGAAGGATTTGATTTGGCTACAGGGATTTTATTTCTGTAGTCACTATGGTAAATAAAGATCTTTTGGTTCAGTCTTACAATGGCCATACCCAATTTGGAAAGCTCTTTTTTTGACACAGTTTTCCACCATATTTTCTACACTAAGCTTACCCCAGCTCCCTGAAAAGATGTAGGTATGTTCAAGTCGATCTCTACCACTTACTATTTTCAGTTGACCTTGTTCTCATAAATGTCAAAATAAATGTTTACAGAAGTAGTACAATATTTTTAAGATTACACTAGGCAAATTCAGTCAAATAATTCAGTGTACTTGTTGATGTACCCTCTCTACATAAATATTCTAAGTAACGTTTCTTTTTGTAAGTTTGCTGTGGAAGTGATACCACTGAAGATTTTTTACACCACTTACTCAGTTTTGCACCTAATGATATGAAGCTAGTATGTATAGAGACATGGCTCACATGAATTAACAGTGTATAGCATAATGCCCAAAGACAGTTTATATGTAGATGATGACTTTTAGTTAATCCATTTCTTACCAAGCAAATTGTCAAGCTACTGATAGTGACAGAACTGTATAAATGTAGTCTTTTACGTGGCTCATCCTCTAGACACAGCACAAGAAGATTCATGAGTAGATACAGTATGATTGGAGTTTTCATCAAGTAAACCTCAGTAAGCATTGATTCTTACATGATGAATTTATTCCTAGGTTTGTCAGTTACCTTTTCTGCCTCTAAGCATAAAAGAGTAAGGGGGAAGAGATGGCACTGTGATTCCTTTAAATGGGTATGGAAAGGTGGATGACACTGACTGGGAAAGTGTAGTAATTTAAAAACTAATATTCAAATTTTAAGTAAATTTTGAATGTTGAATCCCACTGAAACTATTTAGAAATAGGGTATGACTCCATTGTTGTATTTTATATTGTCAGAAGTGCTGATTCTTTTGCTTTTTTGGCTTGCAAGTTTTTCAATTTCAAGAAAAAAATTGAAGATTATACCTAATCTGCTTATTGAGTGAATAGAAATAAATTAGTTTTGAAGATGCTTAATGACAGCTACCTGACAGTCAAATTGATTTTTCCTTTGGAAACACAGACTTAGTCAGGCATCACATGTTTGAATATGATATAATGACTAACTTTATTTTGATTCTTGCAGGAATAAGTGGTGAAAATATTTTCAGTCCATGTTAACAGCAATTTAATATAGTCTTCTCTCTCATAGCTGCAAATATATAAATAAAAATGTTTAGACTGTGTAATGCTTCCACCTTTTGGAAGGAAATTCAAAATGAGTTGTTTAATCCAAAAGTACGTGGACAATATATAATTGTTGAATTTTCTTTCCATAAAGGGGAAAGCCATATAGATGCCCCTTAGGGAGTAGTTACTTTTATGGACAAATATAGTAAAATTCATAACGTAGTTACAGATGCTTATAGCTACTAATAATACAGTTTGAGGTTTCACATCTAGAGGATACAAGGAATAGGTCACTTATAGAGTAGTAATGGTTATTTTTAGCAACAGCGCTCTTCTTTTTGTCTGCTTTCTGTAAAATTAATTTGGAAAACCAAGCAGCTCTGCTTCTGTAGCAAGGTAAGTCCTTCCTTGAAGATGGGGTGATGAATTGATGAGTAAAGAGATAGAGAATCACTCTTAAGGGGTACAATTTTTAAAAAACAATATCAAGGTAAAAATTCAGATTTTGCCAAAAACCATTCCATTCTGGTTTCTGAGTTTTTT